CCCCTGCCGCAACTAAGACCCAGTGCAACCAAATAAATAAAATAATGTAAACAAAAAAAGAAGACAAACAATGGTTTTTAAAAATGGGAGAACGATGTGAACAGACACTTCATTTCATCTCGCAAAAGAAAAGCTATATGGATGACAACTAAGAACATGAAAAGACACTCAACATCATTAACATAGGGGAGTGCAAATTAAAACCAAAATAAGATCCTACTACATACCCACTGGAATTGTTACAGTTAAAAAGTTGGACTAGGGGCTTCCCTGGTGGCGCAGTGGTTGAGAGGCCGCCTGCCGATGCAGGGGACACGGGTTCGTGCCCCGGTCTGGGAAGATCCCACATGGCGCGGAGCAGCTAGGCCCATGAGCCATGGCCACTGGGCCTGTGCGTCCAGAGCCTGTGCTCCGCAACGGGAGAGGCCACACAGTGAGATGCCCGCGTACCGCAAAAAAAAAAAAAAAAGTTGGACTATACCAAGTGTTGGTGAGGATGTGGAGCTAGAACTCTCATAGATATGTGGTGAGAATGCAAATGGTACAGCCACTTTTGAAATAAGCTTGGCAGTTTCTTAAATCGTCACTTACCAAATGATCAAGTAATTCCACTTCTATATATTTATCCAAGAGACAAGAAAACACATGCCCACACAAAGACTAGTACTTGAATGTCCATAGGAGCTTTATTCATAACAACTAAAAATTAGAAACATGGAAACAACCTAAGTGTCCACCAACAGATGAATGAATGAAAAAAATATATATATATATATGTGTGCAATGGAATATTATTCAGCCATTAAAAGAATGAAGTTCTGTTACATGCTGCAATATGAATGAAGAGCAAAAACATTATGCTAAATGAAATAAGCTAGACACAAAAGAACAAGTAGGTATGATTCTACTTATATGAAATATCCAGAATAGGCAAATTCATAGAGACAGAAAGTAGATTAGAGGTTACTAGGGACTGAGGGGAAGGGGGAATGGGGAGTCATTGTTTAATGTTTACAGAGTTTCTGTTTGCGGGTAATGAAAAAGTTTTGGAAACAGGTAATGATAATATATAGTTACACAACACAACATTGTGAATGTAATTAATGCCACTGAGTTGTACACTTTAATATGGTTAAAATAACAAGCTTTAAGTTATATATATTTTACCACCATAAAAAATCAATTAAAAATGAGAAATACAAAAAAAGTGAGAAATAACTCAAATGTTCATCAATAGGTGAATAGATAAACTGTGGTATATCCATACAATTAGTACTACTACTAGGCAATAAAAAACAATAAACTACTGATACACGAAACAACATGGATGAATCTCAAAATCATGCTAAATGAAAGAAGCCAGAAACAAAAGACTACTCACTGTATGATTCTGTTTATATGAAATTATAAACACTAGAAAAGGCAGAACTAGTGACAGGAAGCAGATCAGTGGTTGCCAGGGGCTGAGAATAGAAGAGGGGATTAATACACGTACATAAGGAAACTTTTTGAGGTGATAAAAATGTTCTATATCTAGATTCTTATGAATATACAACTATATATATATTGACAAAACTCATCAAACTACTCGTAAAATTGGTGAATTTTATTATATTTTAATTATATATCAATAAAATTGATTACAAATTAAAATGTCATGTCTAGATAGGTTGTAAAATGCCTCCTTCACACTTTTACTTATAGCCGTTTCTCCCTTTTAAATTTTCACTGATCTGTGAACTTTTTTTTTTTAATATGAATTAGAATAGGACTAGTAATATTTGGGTACACTCATGTCAATGTGGACCTGAAAAAAGTCAGTACCATGACATCCCCAAGAAGTGGTTTGTTGCCACTTTGCAATTCAGTCACATGTCTGGCTCAGCTTAAGGCTCCTCACGCTCCCTTCCTAACACACAGCTTTGCCCATAACCAGAAAATATGTATAGATCAAAGCCTCCACCCCAATCTCTCTTTTACATATATACATACACCTACATATATAATGAAATATTTCAGAGTTAAAGAATTAAGCATAATGTATATAATATATTTGCTCTTGCTAGTTGTGTGGAATAATTGAACAACACCTATGTAAACACAACTGGTTTACAAAATAGATCCTTACCACTAATACTATTGAAGCCCCAGGTGTGTCCTCTCTATCATCTTCCTGTACTCCTTCCTGGGAACGACTATCCTAAATTTTGATTTTATCATACATTTTTAAAAACGGTTTTACAATTTATGAACTTAATTAAGAAAAAAACAAACTTGATTAGCCTATAGGTTTGTTTTTTTTTTGTCCAGACTTCAGCTTATATAGAGACTCGTGTTAGACACAGCACTGAGCAGGCCATTTGGTTGGGGCAGGAAAGGGGGTGCTCTTGTCCTGCCCGCCCATACCCCCATTCCCCAGCCTCCTCAGCCCTTGGTGACATTTGCTTCCCTAATCTCAGAGCCCAAACTCATCTCAGCTGCTCCTCCCAGCAGGGAACTTTCTGATGCAATTGCTAATATTTTAGTGGGATGAGTTGCCTTCACCGTGTGCCCTCTCCACAGGGTATTTGCTCTCTAAGCCATGTTTCTCAAACGGTGAATAAAATAACTCATCCCTGATGAAAGGAAGTTCGGGTCTCTGTGGAGGGGGGCACATGCTGGAGGAGTTGGGGGTAGGATACGGAGGAACAGTGGCCCTTACTCCAAGGATACAAGGGGCCTGGAGGGAAGAGGGGGCACCAGGAATCAGGAGGGATGGTCTGTCCCTTCCCCTGCCCCCTCCCCCAGGGGCCCACCACAGAGACCTCTTTTCCTGAAGTGTCCTCCAAGCCGGGATGGTACTGGCTGCTTCCTCCACAGGTCCTCAGGGTGAGGAGCCTGCTCCGCTGTCAGCGGGCAGGGCATCTGTATGATAACAACCCACCCAAACAGTTTGTGATGCAGCCTCCCTCCCCAGACCTTCCTGCCATTGAGAGCTGCGCTCTCAGTGTGTGTCCAGGGTGTTAGCAAGTAACGACTTTAATCCACATGCCTCTCAGATGACTGACATTTTGTCAGGGGCCCAAGAAAGGACTGGTGTGTGGTTGGACATTGAGGCACACTCTAGACCACCAGCTGGAAGAACCTTTTGTTCAGGAATGCCTTCAGCCTCCTTTGAATCATTCCACCTATGAGTAAGGCCTGTCTAGACAATAGATCACCAACATGAACCTCCCCACCCCGACAATCTCTTCTTTGGAAATTTTTCTTATCAGGAAAGTTTCAGAAGGGAAGCTAAAAGATATGAACGTGCAGAGGGAAAACTAAGTTGAGCATGGCCTTTGGGATGAGTGGGATTTAGAGAATCCTGGCTGTCCTACTAATCTGCTAAAAGCACTTGCTGTGCTGCTGCATCTAGGAGGGCTGTGGCTCAGTTGGAGTTTCACTTCCTTCCCTTGATTTGTTCGCCTAGAAATCACAACATTCTGAGAAATGCTTCCACAACTGTGAGCCAGGAGATTAGCAAAGAGTTTGGCTAATTTGATATCTGAAGAGACAAACAGGATCATAAGGTAAAACCTTACAACCAGGCTTTAGGGGGGGCCCTGTTCTAACCTGAGATCCTGGCTGGGTGAACAAATCATTACCTAGATGTCTGGGCAACAGTTTAAGTGATCAGCTGAGTCATATAGAGGAAGAGACTTTAAATTCGGTGTGTCTCTCAACCTAACTCATCACCTAGCCAGACTTTAATCATTCTTTCACCAGTCAAATATTTATTGTGACCACCATCTGCCAGGCACTATTCACTCTGGTGAACCAGAGACAGACTCTTCTCTTGAGGAACTTAAAGTCTGGTGGGGATACTAACCAGGCAATGAGCAAGTGTAGCGCAGAAGCAAGGCAGAGTCTCCTGGAAGGAGTGTTGTATGAGCTAAAACTTGACAACGAGGCATTAGACGGGCAAAGTTGGGAAGGGAAAAGTATTCTAAGTATGTGTAAAGGCCTGAAGTTGATAGACTGAGGCAAAGAGATGTTAAACAAATTGCCTGAAGTCACACAGCTGCTCAGCGGTTGAGCCAGATCTCCTTTGAGTTGGAAGTTTGTGCTCTTAACTGCTAGACCAAACTATTCCCTGGCCATCCCCTCACTGGACCCTTCCATTTCTGCTTACCTGCATCCGATGGCAAGAATTAGGATGGGAGAGAAAGAACCTGGCGAAGGGCTCCGTGTTCAGAGTGGGTCTGAACTCCTGTGGCCTCAGCTGGAACTCCTGCAGGTTTGGACTGGAGGCTCCTCTTTCAGGACTCCTACAGAGGGCCAGAGAGGCGCTATTTATATGTGGAAGTCACTCAGGCGTGTGCGTGCGTGTGTGTGTGTGTGTGTGTGTGTGTGTGTGTGTGGGCATGCATGCCCGCACACCGCTGCCCACAGGCCTGCAACAAAGGAGCTTTCCTCTTCCTGAAGAGCCCTCTCCTGATGACCCACCCTCTACTCATTTTCATGTGACCCTAAGAAAGGAACAAGGAGGCATGGCCTCGTGAGCTAAAATGCCTTAATGAGTCAGAGGATGCACCCATGAGAAATACCTTATCCTCCTTTCTTTCCCAGAAGCAGCAACACTTTTTCACACACTCCCGGCCCGTATCTGTTTCACTCACTGCAGAGTTTGGGATCCTTGGAAAAACAGCACCAAGCAGGGCGGCCATCATTTTTTCCTTATCACCTTCCTTATTTTGCTTAGCTGTGGTTCCTTTAATAGCTTTCTAACTTTTTTTTTCAAGCTCTAGGCCACCATCATCTGTACCACCATTTTAATGATACTGATATGAGAGTGTCTGCTGTTAGATAAGCCATTGAGTTGGGAACAGAAATACCTTCTAAAATCTGAGTGATATCTGGCATTCTGTCATCAAACCATTCTAACTGCCTAACTATGAAATGTTCTAACAGACACTGCAAATAAAACCCTTTTTGCTAAGCTGAGAAGAAAAAAAAGAGAGGACTAACCCAGGAGAGGCATCTAGCATCTTATTTAATTCTCAAAATAAACTTGTGAGGTAGGCATTATTTTACAAATGAGAAACCAAGGCGCAGATTATTATTACTGAGGCTCAGTGAACTACCCAAGTTCACATAGCTAATAGGTATTTGTAGCAGAAATTGAGACCCAGGTCTCTTAGGTGCCAAAGCACCATAGTACTGCCTCCAAGCAGATAGTTGGAATCTGGGCTGGGAAAAAAAATATCTCAAGCATCAATATGTGGGGCTGTATAGAGAGTAGAGTTAGATGACATAGGATCATTTTCCTTCAACCTCACTCACTGTTACTCTGAGCAAGTCAAATTTCTCTGGGCTATAATCTCTTTACCTGCATGATGAAGCTAACCTAGTATTTATTTTACTTGCTTTAGGTCTGTTGTAAGGATCTAATGAGATAGTTTGTAAATGTGTTTTATAAGGTGAATAAATGTTTCTTCTTAATATAAAGCTTGTGAGCCCTCGCCTAGTATCCTCTATCAAAATTCAATTCCCTGGGGAGATACAGGAATTCAATTGGGCTCTAAATGATTCCCTTTTATGATGAAAATGGAAACTGGATCCTATTTTTTTTTTGAATTTCATTTTATTTTTTATACAGCAGGTTCTTATTAGTCACCCATTTTATACACATCAGTGTATACCTGTCAATCCCAATCTCCCAATTCGTCACACCACCACCACCCCTCCTGCCACTTTCCCCCCTTGGTGTCCATACGTTTGTTCTCTACATCTGTGTCTCTATTTCTGCCCTGAAAACCAGTTCATCTGTACCATTTTTCTAGGTTCCACATATATGCGTTAATATACGATATTTGTTTTTCTCTTTCTGACTTACTTCACACTGTATGGCAGTCTCTAGATCCATCCACGTCTCAACAAATGACCCATTTCGTTCCTTTTTATGACTAATATTCCATTGTATATATGTACCACATCTTTATCCATTCGTCTGTCGATGGGCATTTAGGTAGCTTCCATAACCTGGCTATTGTACATAGTGCTGCAATGAACATTGGGGTGCGTGTGTCTTTTTGAATTACGGTTTTCTCTGGGTATATGCCCAGTAGTGGGTCATATGGTAATTCTATTTTTAGTTTTTTAAGGAACCTCCATACTGTTCTCCATAGTGGCTGTATCAATTTACATTCCCACCAACAGTGCAAGAGGGCTCCCTTTTCTCCACACTCTCTCCAGCATTTGTTGTTTGTAGATTTTCTGATGATGCCCATTCTAACTGGTGTGAGGTAATACCTCATTGTACTGGATCCTATTTTATGAACTTTTCAATAGTGGTTTACCAGCTTTTGTGTCAGGCACACATACATCTGCATACGTAGAAATTTCACACATAGAAAGCAGCTCACATACAGTTTAAAAGAATATTAATAACATAATTATTCCTTATATATATGCATCAAGGGTTTTCTCAGTATTGTTTGCATCATTAATAAAATCTCTGTGCACAGAGATGATGTGTGCTACTCCATCCAGTGCATGAATTAATTCATTAATCAAGTGATCCCTGAATTCCTACCACGTTCTAAGTTCTATGCTAGATTCTGAGTCTACAGAGCAGAATAAGATACAGCAGCCTCTACCCTCAAGGATCTCACAGTTGTGGGGAAGAGGCATATAAATAGCATAGGTAAATAAAAATGCAGTGGGAAGTGGGTAAAGATTTTTTTAAACAGGACACAAAAAGCAGGGACCATAAAGAAAAAGATTGATAAATGGAACTTAAAATCAAGAACCACTCTTCATCAAAAGACATTAAGAGAGTGAAAAAGCAAACTATAGACAGGAGAAAACATTCATAACACATATATCTGACAAGCGTCACATGCCTGGAATTATGAAGAATGCCTACAAACCAGTGAAGAAGACAAAGAACCAGTAAAAACTGGGCAAAACAACTTGAGCAGGCACTTCTCAGATGGCCAATAATTATACGAAAAGCTCTAGCTCATCATGAAAATGCAAATTAAAACCACAGTGAGATACTACCAAACACATAACCAAATGGCTTAAATTAAAAATGTTGATGAGAATGTAAAGCAATTGGAACATTGCTGGTGGGAGTGTAAATTAGTAGGACCCCTTTGGTTAAATGTTTGGCAATATCATTTACCAAAATTAAATATTCACCTACCCTATGACCCAGCAATTCCAATCTGAGGTATAACCCAGCAAAGGAAAATGATGGAATTTGGCTTTAACACCTTAAAGTGCCAAACTTAGTTGGGGCTGGTGAGGACAACTTTAAGTCCTTGTTCCTTAGGGTAAATTTGTGACAATTAATTCAATGATTAATCTGATGAACAAGAGCCTTCTTTTAGAAACTATATGCTTGCAATAAAGTTTTACTAAGTAAGGCCAGCTTAGGTCAAATTCTTCATTCCCCTGTGGTAAGCCCTCTATGGCCACAGAGGCCTGGTCACTGCCATGAAAGAACTAAACATTACCTTCTTACAGATATGTTAATAATATCAGAATTTGGCTCTATTGGGGACACAGCTACTAGTTATCACTTGGTGATATTTCTAGGGGAAAGTGAATGGGAGTCTAGGGTGGGCCAAATTAAGAATGGGACCTGGGTGGGAAAACAATTTGCCTAATGCCATAAAAGGCTTCCCATGGCCGAAAGGCTTACGAAAACAGGATAGACAGATGTCCCATTCTGGGGGATATTGAGAGGTTTGGAGGTGGGATTTGAGCAAGGAATAGAGGAAGTTGAGAAAATCGAATTCACTGGTAGAGGGAAAGGGAAAAGATAATGACAATCAGGCCAGGATTTCCCAAATAAGAGTGACAGACTAATCAGCTTCCTCGTGGGTGGGCTTCAACTTTGACTGACAGCTGACTAAACACGAGTGCACATTTTCCTCAATTGGAGAGAGAAAAAAAGGAAGATAAGTGATGTTGAAAGAGTTGCCATTTATACCAGTCCACTGAAGAGGAAGTTTGGGATTTTTTCCTTTTCTTCATTAGTATAAAAATATTACGAACTTCAACCCACTCAAGTTAGGCTTCCATCTCCAACATCACATTGAAACCGTTCTTGGCCTCCAATGCTTTCTTGTGTCTAATGAACACTTGGCCCCTAGGAAGAATTAGATAGTTGGCCACTAGATGCTTTTTGAACATTCTCACTCTTGGCTCCCTTGACAACCCACTCTGGTGTTTCTTCTCCCTCACTGGCCTCACCTCCTAGACGGGGCCTCTTTCTGTTGGTGATCTCCAGGCCTGGGTTCTGGGCTCTCTTCTTTAACTTTCTCCTGAGTGACCTCATTCTTTCTCATGGCACTGAACTCCATCTACAGCGCTGATGATTTCTCAAATCTCTAAGTCCAGTTCACCTCTCTTCCTAGCTTCAGAATCACGTGTCCAACTTGCTATACTACACCTGCACTTGGAAATGCTGCAATTAACACATCCAAAATGATTTCTATCCCACCAAATCTGCTTGATCCCCCATTCCTGCCTCAGGAGTGATACTACTACCTATCCATTGCATGAAACTTGAGTCATTCTTGATTTCTCCTTCCCTCATTGCCCCCCATCTAATCCAACAGTTAAGTCTTTAAATTTCTACCTTAAAATGCATCTCTAATCTGTATATTCCTTCCCAGTTCCATTGCCATGACGCTGGTCCAGGCAATTTCCGTTTTGTACCCTGATCATTGCAATAGTCTCTACTCTTGCTCTTTTGCAATCCACCCTCCACACAATAATGGCTTCTTGTTATACTCTATATGAACTCCTTACTGGGCCTAATAAGGTGTTATATGATCTGGCTTTTACACATTTTATGCCACTCCCTTTGCTCACTACATGCAAGACACACTGGCCTTCTCTCAATACCTCGGATACATCAAAAACTTTCCTGCTCCACAGCCTTTGCATTTGTTGTTCTCCTTGGAAATTTTCCTCCTACCCAGTATGGGCCACCTTCTTTTCATCCTTCAGGTATCAGCCTAAATGTTAACTCCCCAACATCCTATTTAAAGCAGAATTCTCTACTGGCTCCTTTTCCAGTTTTGTTCATAGTGTTTGAATCAAATCTATATTTTTTAATTTGTTTACTATCTGTATTCCTAACTAAAAAGAAAGTTCTTTGAGGGCAGGGGCTGTGTCTGTTTTGCTCATCATGGTCTCTCATAACTCCTGGTTTTTCTCCCATTAATTTAGTAATTACTTTTTTTCCTTCACTTGTTTAAGCTGAGTCCTTAGTCATTAGTTACTGCTGATCTGAAAGACTAGACTCTGCTTGAACTGCCAATATGTCAAATACAGAATCTTACTTTCCTTACAAGGCTAGCTAACCCAGTGATTTCATGAATAGTTCAACCAACATTTATAGAGCATTTATCATGAACATTCAACGTTAACTAAGAGCAGAGAAGAAGCTAACAAACATTACCCTTGACAACCGGACTATGAACTAACCTTTGTCAATAAATACTACAGTGTGTGCTAAACATGAGAATATGAGAGCAAGCAAACCTGAATTGTATTAACAAAAGTAGTATCCAGAGTCTTACCTCACAAAAACAATAATGCAAGAAAACTAATACTGAAAAGTTTTTGATTTTATTTCCAAGATCAAATATTACAACAGGACATTTACATGTATTTATAAAAAAATGCAGCAGTTGAATTTATAGATCAGAGGTTTCCTTGAGTTTGGTCCCTCTCTCAGCACAGTGAGCTGATGTCTTCAAAAGACTTCCCTCCCTCCCCAACCCCAAATGTCCCACCGCCCCCCTCCCCAATTCAAGTTGCAATATCAATATAAAGCAACTGGGTACAACACAGCAAGAATATTCACAATTTGGTACAGCCAAAACCAGAGGATCACCAACTGAGAGAAAGATCCTCATTTTAGAAATTATTTACCTATAGACTATGTGTATCTATAGATATATCACACCCAGTTATCTAAGATTTCCCTGGTTTTAGAGCAAGTGGAAGTTCCATTGAGTCTTAGCCAGCAGTTACAGCTCTGCTTTATCTAACGGCTTGTTTCTCTCCTCCTACAAGTTTAGATTTTCTATGGCCTCCATATGTCTTCAAATTTAAGGCTTTCCCTAGCACCTTTATTATCACTTACTAGAAATACAGGAGGGTCTCTAGTGTGTCTTGAACAAAAAAATTTAGTGGATGATCCAGTTGCCCCTTTCTCACAGGTCCCAAAGCCTTCTTCCCACTCTTGAGAAGAACTGCAGAAACAAATGATATCTCCTAGCACCACGGGATTAAAGCCCAGAAAACTGAGAACTATACATATGTGCATTTTAGGGAACACTTGCCAGAAACATTACAATAGAAGCACTGTCTCTGTCCATTATCTTCTTGGATTCAATAACAAAGTTACACTACAGATTAAATTTAGAGCCTGTCCTGCATTAAGAATGCAAATCTCACTAAGACCACCACTTTATCCAGAATAAGGTGAGTACACAAACATCCCAGGGAATTTCTAAACACTGTGAGAAACTGCTTGAGAACACTAAAGCAAATACCCTAAGTTGACTTCACTCAAGCCCCTGACCCACCCCCATCCCTATCCCCAAATTTCATTCCTTGGTTAAACTTCTCTGAATAAGATGGGAAATGAGGTTTGGAAAATGACATGGAAAATGTTTAAAAAACACAGTTAGTGAAGACATGCCAGAATTGGACATCCCAGATGATTCAGAACGCATTGTTCAAACTAAATTCATACAAAGCATGCACAGAAGCCTACAAACACTCCTGAGTGTTTCCATGGAACAATCAATACCTACTTTGTTTCTTAAAGGGTTTAAAAAAAAAAAAAAAGACATCAGATTCTTAGAAGTTGTTAACAATCAAAGGGAAAACCATTCTAGAAAGAAAGATTCTTAAGAGTGAATAAAATTATGTCTAAAATTCACGCCAAAGCTTGGCTGGAAGCCCCTCAGAGTCTAAGTACTGTGTTAGCATCAACTGGTACTCATTTCTCTACATTTAAGACTAGAGGATTATCTCATAGCTTTACTGTCTGTTTCCCAGCAAGTTTTAAATACCCTTTCCAAACCGAAGTGACAAACCTAAGAAAGTAACAAGGCCCAAGTCCCCCAACAGGTAAGATAAACAGCCCCTACAAACTTCCTACTCATTAACTGAAAAGTGGAGGTTACATACTCCTTTCATTCTAATTAGCATGCAAGAGGGGATTTTCTGGTGGCAATGGTCACTCCACATGAGGTTTAACTTACAGGGCAATGAATTATCAAAAAGCTACTGTTAAGAGCATCTGATTATCAGTGTCAAAAACCTATTTATATTTTGAATCACACCATTTATTGATATTTTCCATTATTAAGAACACAGAAGCTTTGAGAAAAGCATACTATAAAGCCATTTTGTTGAAAACAGAAAGATATCCAACTGAGCATCAACATTCCAATGCCATTAACTTGAAATATGTCCTGGTGACATGTACTTAAAGTCAGTGACCTTGACAGAGGGGAAAAAAAGCACAATGGCAGGGAATGGTTCCATATCAAGAATTTCTCCCTTATCAGATAAGATGCCCATACTGAATCTATGAAAAAAGCAAATAGAAAATATTTTAAGGAAGGGAGAATTCAATTCCAGGTCAGAATTTATCTAATTATTTGAAATGTTTCCCATTTTATTTACCATGTCTAATAAATGAGTGATTCATGGTGGCCCAATTAAATTAACTTCTTTTAATGGAGGTAAAATTTTTCTTATGTTAAGTCCCGCTTATTCTTCCAATTTGTAAACCCAAGTGACCTTATAAAGGATATAAAATCTTAGGGCATTTTGATCTCTGCAAAGGAAATACTATTAGGCAAACAACAAAAACTTGCTGTTTGTTGCAAGAGAATTAAGTACAACAAGGCAGCTTTCCATATTTATAGATTAATATGTGATTGTTCTTAGGCAAAATACTACCATCGGTATTTGTATCTCTAATCCTACAAATAAATCTAGTTATCTTTTGAAAATACAGAAATGCTAAATTATGTTTTAATAAAGTAGTTCATATTAGATTGCTCAACTCTACTTTGAGATCATATGTCAAAGCAAGGCCTGTACCAAACACTATCATGTTTATGAGAATGACTGAGATTCTAAGCAATACAACTGCATTCCATAGGACAAAAAAGGGCGGAGGGGTATCATGGAGCTAGCTATTCTATATTTGGAATAAGGATTCTTAGGTAGAGAGAAAATGAGTTATAAAAATGATGTTTGCCTCAAACTCTTTCCTTGTATATTTATGAAAAATGAAAAATGTTGCATATTAAAATTTAGAAATGGAATTTCTTAAACAGCCAATTTTCATTAAAAATCATGACATTTTCTGAGAACAGATGTCAAAAATCAAGAAGAGAATGGAAAAATAAAATAGAAAATTATATTAAAATATTTTCTAATTTAAGGGTCTCATTACATCCAATAATTTAACCACGAGATCACTTCATGGAAAAACTACCAAGGTCGTCATAATCTCTATTGAAAAAAGCTAGATTCTAAGCTGTCTCTCTAGCAGGATTGATACATAGGTGAATCAAAGACCAAAATAGCCATCACTGAAATACCGAATTTCTACATGTCAGGAGAAATCAATGTCAGGCTTGGTGTTCTCTGTTGGTTATTTTCAGTACTAAAGAACATTCTTACCACCATTCTAAAATGTGTACAGTGCAATACTAAACTGCATGGTGAGGCAGTAACTAAAATGCTAAACAAGGCAAATCAATGAAGTTGAATATTCATAGTACACAGCTGTCTTTAAGTGGTCCTACTGGAAAACTGCCATGTTCACCAGAAGGGTGGGTTCTTCTTACTCTCATTTAGTTTTACACAAGACATTACTTATTCATTAACCCCCATCCCGTGATTTACTATTGAGTAGTACTACTGAATACTATTTACTCTCTCTCTTTGGCCCCAAATGAAAGAGGGCCAGAGAGAGAGAGAATGACATCATGGAGATACACCCTATGGGATAAGAAATATTATAAAAAGTCGGCCTAATTGGATCTTGAAAGACTTGTTTCTGTCAAAACCAAGTGTGACTTCTACAGCTTACACAAATCAATTTCCTAACAATTGCTCAGCCAGTAAAGTGCTTTGTTTAAGCACACATACAAAATAAAATTTAACTCTGGTGTCAGTGAAATATTTGGTTCTCATTACATTTTAGTCATACTCAACACTGATTAGGAACACAGCATTAAGTTTTAAAAGTAATGAATTGTGTTTAAAAGATCATTACTAGATCTGTAACTATCATACTCTCCTTTCTGGAGATTAT